CTATGTGTGAGCTGCTCCGCTCACTTTTTGGGAAGGAGAGCCTCTCAATATGAGCTGCTGAGTCCCATTTTGGAGCCCCCTTGGCCCAATTTTTTTGGGAGGGTGGAGCCTCTTCAGGTGAGCTGCGGCAGCCTATTTTTTAGGAAGGTGGTGGGGAGGGGACAATAGACTCACTGTCCCCTAACAAGATTGTCGTAAAATGCAACCACTTAGGGGTGTTTCCTTCGAAGCTGGAGTGCATCTGCCTGTGAGGGAGGAACCAACAGTTTGCATACAGATAAGCCAGATATGTAAAATATATGTGCACCCACAATTCAAGTTCTGAATCAAAGTCTAGAATTTACGAATAACCGGAAGTTTCCGCTGGATTTTACGCCAAGGGGAAAATGATTTGGAACACGCGATAACGTAATGGCTAGAAGATTGTCTGTCGGTTGAAATATTTGAAGCAACATCAAGGGGAACTGTTTAAATTACTTGGATTCCCCAGCAGATGTTGTCTAAGAGAAATGCATGGAAATATCTAAGAAAATAAAGGCAGTCGCTATGGTGTCATCAGTGACTAGTTCAAGTGAGTAGAGTCTAAACAATCCTAAGTGTAGGGAAATAAAGGCAGTCGCTATGGTGTAATCAGTGACTAGATCAAGTGAGTAGAGTCTAAACAATCCTAAGTGTAGGGAAATAAAGGCAGTCACTATGGTGTCATCAGTGACTAGATCAAGTGAGTAGTCTAAACAATCTGAGTGTAGGGAAATATCGCCGATGCACTGATGGCCTGAGAATGGTTCTTGTACTGTACTTAATGCATTGCCTGCTAGATCTCCCCTCATAGAGAAGCTAAACCTCCTGTCGTAAAAGTTGCACAAAAGTCGGACTACAGTGATGATCTCCAGAGAACCTAGTAACACACGCAGAGGCAAACCAAGCCCGGCTGCGAACTCACAACCTTCAGAGCATGAAATACACGAAAACAGCTTGGCCACGGAAAGCAACCTCTTCTCCCGTCTTAATTTAATACAACGACAAACTGCACATGAATGGAAGACTCAGCTGTGTTCATGCCAGACCATTTATCCGAACGGTCGACTCTAGTCAAGATGATTTTGTTAACCTTTCTAGTTTTATATACCTGGCCCTTTATCTAGGTCACATAAAAATAGCACAGTAAAAAGGTAAAGATGTGTTCACAACGACACACGGCTAACCCGTGACACACTGAGACTTTCCAAAGTCCTTTACTTTATGTCTTCACTGTGTGTGCTTGTTCATATCCTGCTAGTTCATGTTATACAAACAGGCGGCTGTTAGTTTTTCTGTTTATTGTTTTATTTCAAGCCGTGCATGATGTTGCGATTTCCTGTGTAGATTACCTTAAAAAAAAAAAAACATTAAGTAACTTACAAGCATTTCTGAGTTTTCGAACACTTTTTTTGAACACGATGTGTTTTCAAAGAGTAGGAATACTCTTACAGAACTAAATAATCACAAAAGCGAAGTGTTTGCTAAATTTAATATTTGTAAAGCATTCTTGTTGTTTAGTGTGTTCAATGTGCAGGCGTCCATGTAAGCAGTGTAAAAATGCTAACACATTCAAATAGAAGTGACTTATATGGGATGGGATAAAGATACAGTGGTTGCATTTTTGCCACTCGATTGGAACCGAAAATATCGATACCTGCCCTCTGTATTCGGTGTTATCGATCCAGCATCCGCAGTTACCTATGCCCTAGTGTGTTACTTGTTCTTTTGCTAACTACATTAATATTATTTACATCATGTCTTTATGGTTTTTCTCGATTGCTTAAAATCTTTTTCAGAAATAGCACAGTCATATTTGCACTCTAAAACTGAACTTACAAAGGGTACAGTAACTCACAATATCAGTCTGCATAGTTAGTTAGAATCAGTAATAGCAGTTCTACATAATTATATTAGATTGCAGTTTCTTTAACGCTAATAGCATACTTAAATTCATAAAGTATCCACGAAAGGCGCTATCACAAAATAACACTATAACTGCAGTTAATCGTCGATGGAAGCTGCGTTACCACAAGCCTGCATATACAATATCGCATGAGGCAAGGGGACATAACCGCACAAAAGAGAACTATTTCTGACAATCTGAAGCCTCCTGTTTACCCGCTTTGCAGCCCTTTTATTTAGTACAGACGGGAAAACCCAAAGTAGGGATTTCTCAATAAATGCGATAGCAAATATATAAATAAATATAAAAGCTTTAGAACAAACGAGTAGGACAATGAAATTAGGACGTGTTCTTACATTTTATCCAGAAATAAAAGAAAATTTGCTACAAAGATATGCATTAAACATTAATGTTCGTCATCCCCCTTACTGGATGAAATGCATCGTTACTTTGAAGCCCCGCCCTGGTTGTTGCCAGGGGCCGCAATTGTAGCCTTATGCTTGAATGCAGTTTCTGGGACCTCTCCATGGGTGATCCTCATCCACAATGTGGCACCTTGTGTCACCATGTGTTTATCGCTCTGTGTGATGTCCTGGTGGGGTAAAATTTATATACTTACTAACTAGGCATTAACCTAAAAAATTATTACCAAAAAAAAAAAAAAAACCTAACCAACAAATTTGAACACTTCAGCTCCCCATGTGGTATCCCGGGTCCTTTTATAGGAGAGTTATAAATAAACTCACTGCCTACCCAAAAGCAAGTCTTCGAAAGAGTCGACCAATTCGGGGCTTCCTTAAAGTCAGAGTGCACCTTTTTGAGAGGCAAAAAACCAACAGTCTGCGCACTAATAAGTTAGATCTGTAAAACGGATGTAGATACAACACTCAGGTTCTGGAACAGGGCTACAGTCCAGAAGTGGACGAACAACCAGTACTTTACGCCAGAGTTTACAGCTGATGAGCGCAAGGAAGAAGTAGACTACAACACGAAAAAAGCTTAAAATATCAACATTCCACAACAAAACAGTAAAATACTAAGGACACCAGCTACATGACGTCAACATTTTCAAACAGCAAATCTGGCAAACAAGTCTCAAATACTGCCAGTCACATCAAGCATGGATGACCATGCTAACAAACTGTCATTTTTGGTTATGAAAAAGTCATTGATCAAATTCAGGTAACAAAGGAGTACTAAATTAAACGGGATTATGCTACACAATTTCGTGGGTTCGCTCCCTGGCGGATACCATACTTAAAAATTTTTTTTTGACCTTGGCTCCCAGGTCGACCCAGCCTCGAGTGGGTACCGGGTGCAGTCCCGGGAAGTAGAGGAGGCCGGCGTGATACTGAACACATCACCCATTTTGTGTCGAATGGTCTATAAAATATAGGTCTAGCCCTATGTGCCCTATACGCCTAAAGGCTTGAGAAAAGGTCCTTTACTATTTTACTTTTATGCTACACAATAATTATTGCTCACAGCTGGTACTATTGTCTGGGTTCTGTCACTGGCCTGATGTCTGAAACTGTAGTGTTGGAGAAAACAAGTTTACAGAAATAAAATTTTTATTTTTCTAACACGACACAGTATTATTTATTTAACTACAGTTCTAATTTAAAATAAAAAAAATGTTTTAGCTAACAATTAAGTATTAAAATAAGACTAGCCGTAAACTACAATTTGTAACATCAGTCGAGACACGATGACTACAGTTAAACTATGTCTTACAAAGCCAGGCCGATAAGCCTACTAGACAATGTAACCGTTGATAGAACATATAAATAGCCCTCTACATATGCTCGTAGATATTTAGTGTTGTCTTGTGTTGTTTGATAATAGGTTCATTTTTGGAAATGACAATATCAACTGTTAACTATAGTGAAGATTTACTGATGATAAAGTCGACTTGTAAACAATTAACAAGACACACGCAGAAGGCGTGGGATTCAGAACCAGGGGGCTTAGCTCACTTAGTCGCTCCCCGACTAGAAAAATAGTAAGATAGACTGACCCCCCCCCCCCCACCCCATCGACCCCACCCTCATAAAATGTGTCAGCATCGTGAATCATGTCAAGACGTTTTCTTTTAATTAAAGTATATAAATAGAAATTTTATATTATTTCAAATTATTATTATATTTTATATAATTCAAAGCAATTTTTTTTACTATTATTATTATTATTACGCAAGTGCAAAGACTTACACCCACTTAAGGCCTCTTTGAATTAACCTAGTTATGACGGGATTCTAGTTTTGCAATGGTGTGAGGTTATTGCTGTGGATTACCTGTCTTTTTTTCCCCAAGTCACCTGGCGCCACTGTTCTGCCATTACACAGAAACAACTCAGAATACAAGGGAATGTTAACAACATATAATAGCAGCAGTAAACTAAACAGAGAAGAGAATAACAAAAATAGGGTCTCATCAAAGAAATAATTCACTCTTCCAGTGCCAAGGAACACATTATATGTTCACTGGGTTTAACCTTGACGCCCAGTGAACGCAGAATGTGTTGATGATACATTTGTCGTACTTCTTGGGCCTCTAATGCTAAACCCAGTGGGATTTAAAGAATAAATATGCATAAATATATTATATGATCGAATGTGTAACAGTACAGCTACCGCCAAAGCGATACTAGTGTGCATTTGGCAGACTGATTCTCAGATCATGTAGCTATCGCGTGAGATTTTCCAGAGCAGAGTTATGTCAGTTTTTGATTAATTATTTTGTTTTTGATGTTAGAATTCACACTGACACAAATATAGCGGATATAGATTCAGAGGAAAAGCACGCAGACGATAAAAGGACATTGGCGTGAAGAACAACCTTAAATAAAACGAAGAACAAACCGAGCGAATTAAAAGGAGATTTAAAAGAAAGAATCCTTACATTCTTTTCTCCTCTATCACTTTGCTGAGGTAAATGGAGGTAGAGAAGTATTTTCTGATCATTCATATATCCTAAAAACTACAATCGTAATAAAATAATATCATAATGTTAAAAAACAATAAGTTCATTAGTATCATATTCCTGATTCCTGACATGTTTCATTTTATAATATGCAGAAAAGAACATCTGGGATACCGACGATCCATGGTCATTATGGAACATCAGGAAGAGCGGATCTTCAATTGTCGTCGACTCTAAGGAACTCACCGATTTTGCTACGTGCCAGTAATTCAGTTAAACAGAGGATAGAACTATCACAAGAAGATTGGCTTCTCAGAAGGGGATTATCATTACTCTCGCATAATAGTTTAAATAGTGACCAGTATGAATTCACTACGCGCCCAACAAAAAATCAGATAACCTCATCTTCGCGGAATACATTGAGATATAGAGATCAAGTGGAGAGAGTTATTTCTGGTGTCAATAAACAAACAGTACTAGATTTAACGAGACGGACAAACAAATATGTATCAATACAACAACATGCATCTTTTTTGACCGACGAGGGTTTGCAAAAAGACATCAAGCCCGTAGGGGATATTTTAAAATCAAAGACAAATTCAGAATTACTATTTCAGAAGGACTTAGATGAAAATAAACCACATTCGCATACTTCTCTTCTGCCTCGGCATGGTGTCATCAGGCAAGTGCCAGGGGGACAAAATCTTTCATACAGACATTCCGCAAGATTATATTGGAGGAGCTTTGTTGCGACTAGAAATAAACAGTTACTCAACCTAACCAGCAGTGTTCTGAGAGGAAATACAAACAAAACTGTCAAAGACTTTATTGACCGTAGAATACAGACTTTAAAGGATATTAAAAGTGCAGCAATTATCCCTGTCCAATCACCAGGATATAACGGAGCTCGTGATCAGAATAAACTAGGAAAGCAGTCAAAGACAGCCTCTAACCATCTCTTTGGGATGTCACAAAAGAAACTGGTGTGCTATTACACCAATTGGGCCCAGTATAGACCCGAGCCTGCCAAGTTTCTCCCCGAAAACATAGACCCGCAACTGTGCACACATATCCATTATGCTTTCGCCAAATTAGACAACAGTGAGCTGGCACCTTATGAATGGAACGATGAGAGTACGCCATGGATGGTTGGCATGTAAGTATAGCTAAGAGATAATGATTCAGTAGGGCGCAGTAGTAACACAGTTGCTAAACGTTTGCCTGAAAAGCTTTGATTTAAATCCCCATCAAGATGACTAAAAAAAAAAAAAAAATTTAAATGTTGCATGTCATTGCCTACATACCTAGATAAAACCAGTCTCAGTAAAACAAACAGACCTGCTCGTCCGTTTCTATGTCATTGCCTACATACCTATATAAAACCAGTCTAAAACCAACAGACCTGCTCGTCTGTTTGTATGTCATTGCCTACATACCTAGATAAAACAAGTCTAAGGGAAACCAACAGACCTGCTCGTCCGTTTGTATGTCATTGCCTACACACCTAGATAAAACCAGTCTAAGCAAAACCAACAGACCTGCTCGTCCGTTTGTATGTTATTGCCTACATACCTAGATAAAACCAGTCTAAGTAAAACCAACAGACCTGATCGTCCGTTTGTATGTCATTGCCTACATACCTAGATAAAACCAGTCTCAGCAAAACCAGCAGACCTGCTCGTCCGTTTGTATGTCATTGCCTACATGCCTAGATAAAACCAGTCTCAGCAAAACCAACAGACCTGCTCGTCCGTTTGTATGTCATTGCCTACATGCCTAGATAAAACCAGTCTCAGCAAAACCAACAGACCTGCTCGTCCGTTTGTATGTCATTGCCTACATGCCTAGATAAAACCAGTCTCAGCAAAACCAACAGACCTGCCTGCCTGTCTTTTGTCTGCTTGCGAATTTACTAAACTACCTCTGTATTTGAAATCCAGCCCATACATAAATCTTTAAATATTGCCTGGCCTACTTACCTACCTGCGAGCCTGCAAACATAGTTATGTTTTTTTTTTTTAGTTAGTTGTCTGTCCCCTATTCTGTGTGTCCATTAGTTAGTCCTGTTATGTATATTCTGTTTATTGTTGCAAACCAACACTTCTTTGCTATAAGAAGTATTTACTTTACTTTTTTAGATAACAGTATTTCATTCTTAGTCTTATTGATTGATATTATTTACACTGAAAGCAGGTATGAAAAAGTCACCAGCCTGAAACAGAAAAATCCACAGTTAAAAATTCTCCTGTCTCTTGGGGGCTGGAATATGGGATCATCTCCCTTTTCTGTCATGGTTGCTACCGAAGGAAGTAGAGGCAAATTTATTCAGGTTAGTCTGTCACTGCAGATACTGCAGGAAACCTCGTTTATTTGTGGTTGAGACCATCAGCATTCATTCTATGTATATTTATGTTCGCCACCGAATAAAACTGAACATTTATCAATGTTAGTCAATTATGGTAACTGTTAAAGTAGTTACTGCTAATGAAGAATACACATTTATTCATGGTTATGATAAAAACTTATTCGTGTAATAGAAAACTTATCCGAATATGGGACGACATTTTTCGTTATTTGAAATACCCCGTCCGGTTGTGTCGGGGCCCCTAATAAAACCTAACAACTGACGGGGTTTCTGGGACTTGTGCCTGGCAAATCCTGATCCTAATGGTGGCACTTTGGGTCAGTGGGTGTTGGTTGCTCATTGTGAGATTCAAGTGGGATTGAACGACATACATACTTCTTCTTCTTTTCTTCCACCTTTTACCTCATCGAAGTGTCACGGGGAGATGTAGTGTATTCACTTACATACACTATAAAAACTTATTCATATATTTATTCATTGTTTATATAGAACCCCCCCCCTCCCCACCCCCCCCCCCCTAAAAAAATCTAAATTTTTGCATTGTTCTCACGCAGACACCCAATCGCACTCACACGCACATTGAAAAAAAAAAGAAGACATTTATTGACAGCTTTTGAAGAAAGTAAACACCATTTCAACCATGTTAGCTTGTCATGGTTACTTCACAGAAATATTTCTCAAATTTCATTTTAGAAATCAGCCTATAATGGTATTGGTTATGCAAAAGTCACAGACTTATATTGACGTTACTCTGACATTCAACATAATCATTTAATGTAATAATGTTAACAGCTATAATTAATATAAATACGAGTATTGCTACGAGTGTTACTTTTATATTGTCACAAACTGTGTTTCATAACTATACCATAGATATGAAAATTATAAAATGAGCTGACAAAGGACAAGTTAACTGAGCTGACGAATGACAAGTGACACCGATAACTGAACTGTAGTTTTCTGAGTTTACTGGGATAGAAAGTGACAAGATTACCGAGCTGGAGCACTAAATGACACATTCACAGAGAAAATAAGACACAATTATATCACTACTTACCCGTGTTTACAAAAACCGTGGTTTTTGGTAAGGAGCCGGGACTCATTTTCGGTTTTAGAAAAAATGTCCCCATAGCTCCTTAATAAACATGTCGTAAAATTTGATTAAATAATGATTTGCTGAAATCGAATGTGTGGGACCGATATCACTGCCTAGCTGTAAACAACAACATGCCAATGACTTTTTTCTATTGACGATATGACGATGCTGCTGAAAATAAGTCTTGCTGATGATGGGCCTATGATGCCTCCTCACTTTCTCTTGCAGACCGGCATTGCATTCCTGAGAAAATGGAAGTTTGATGGTCTTGACCTGGATTGGGAGTATCCAGGTGATCGAGGAAGTCCACCAGAAGATAAACATCGGTTTACCTTGTTGGCTCAGGTACACACCTTACGCAATCTTAGTGCGTCGTATAATTAATTTTATAACTATAAAATTATATATATATATATGTATATATATATATATATATATATATATATATATATATATATATATATATATATATATATATATATGTGTGTGTGTGTGTGTGTGTGTATATGACTGTATGTGTTATATATATAATTATATATGTGTATATACAATTAAAAAGTGAGCCTTATATATATATATATATATATATATATATATATATACACACACACACACACATACACACCATATTTGTCAATGTATAATACGCACTTTTTGATTCCCAAAATAAGCCTTAGAATTAGACTATGTCTGATTCAACGAAGGTAGGTCTTGTGTACGGTTATTTGTCATAGTTGCCCAGACTACAGTTAGTTTTTTTTTTCCTTCTAAGATCTTGGAGTACTCTGCGTGCAAGCGATAACCATGTGACACAGAGGAAATTGTTATAACGGAGGAATGCATTTCTGTGAAACCCCCGAATTCTTTCTAAGTAGAAGTATTTCATTTCACCATGCCAAAGTGGTGCTTGCATTAACTCTTTTGTTTTTACTGGTAACATTCCTGAGAGAGAGAGAGAGAGAGAGAGAGAGAGAGAGAGAGAGAGAGAGAGAGAGAGAGAGATAAAAAGAGAGCGAGAGAGAGAGAAAAGAGAGACACACACACTTACCCACAGAGAGAGAAAGAAAGAGAGAGAGAGATAGATAGATAGATAGATAGAGAGAGAGAGAGAGAGAGAGAGAGAGAGAGAGAGAGAGAGAGAGAGAGAGAGAGAGAGAGAGAGAGGAGAGAGAACTGTGCTCATCACAAGATGCTGAAAGTTGCTTCGTTATGAAACCCCGATGGCTTATTTCACTATTTCTTTGTGTTGCTTATCGCATCATTCAATATATCTGGTTAGTATTAAACAGTTGCAATAGGAATAAACTCACAGGGAGCAAATACAGCAGGGATCTACCAGTCGTCAGTAGAAATTATCCTCGTCGACACACGTGTCGGCCCACGATTCCTAGACGTATTCGGAGGTGGGCCCACCTGAGTTCCTGACGTTCAGGTCTGGTTCCCCGCTGCACGGAATTACCAGATGGTGTTTTACTTTCGGCCAGAGACAAGACGACTTGGTGGTTTCGAAGGAGGTACTGTGAGATAAGAAGCCACCGCGGCAGCTTAATTAAAGCAGTCAGCGTGCCTGGACGACCGAGCGACAAGCTTATTTTGGTTTACCGGACACATGTTGGACTTTTATTAGCAGTTGGCAGAGGAACACTGGCAGACAATCGGACACGATGGACTTTCAAAGGGATGAGAAACTCTTTTCCACTAGATACCCGGACCAGCTCACCGAGGCCCGTTCCCTACGTTGTTGCGCTGCGTCAAAAGCCAGCTAGAGGCCCTTTCGGCCACCTCTCCCAGTTTTTTGAGTCTTCGTTTCCGTTCATTACCGCGCAATCCTAGTTCTTTCACCACATTGTAGAGCGAAGTGGAAACGAGGCCTCTCGCTCCCACTTCGACGGCAAATACCCGTACTGTGTTAGCCTCGTTTCTCCTCAAACCGGCTGCTAAATCACTGTACTTCTCGAGCTTGTACAAATGATTCTCCTCCATACGCGACTCAAACGGGACAGTCAACTCAATCAGGATGAGTTGCCGTTTTTGCGCAGAATGGAGAACGATGTCCGGTCGCAGGCCGGTTTTACGAATCAACTCGGGGTACCGTTCATGGCCTGGCAGATCAACCGCCAGTAACCAGTCCCTCGCAGAGTCTAGCACAGATGGAGCGAATGCGTTTTGGTTGACCTTCCCTTTTGGAACCTGCCCAGCCTTGAGGAAACGATTGCAGATTATACTTTAGTATGTTAACCGTTAGTTAGTTGCGTATTCTTTACAGGACGTTGCAGAACCAACCCCAGCATTATGTTCCGTTCTGGTTTTTCTAGGCAATTCACGTCCAGTAGTTTGCCAGATGTTAACGGCATGTGCTACTAGTTCATAAGTCTGTCTACGTGATCACAATTCTTATATGGATAAGCAGTAATAGTTACACTGGTCTCCCCAGGAACCCCCCATATACACACTAGCTCATTTCTGATTGGTCTACCTTGAGCAAGCCGACCTTGGCACTGGGTGACGGGGTTGTTCCAAAATGCCGTTGATATCGCATTTTGTATATTTCATTCTGTTTTAACACTAAAAAAAAAAAAAAAAAAAACAACAACAAAAAAAAAAAAAAAAAAAAAAAAAAACACATCGACAACTGTGTCTAACACACAATTCCTTTAGAGATTGACAAAACCTTTGTCACAGGCAGTCTCTTTCTCCAAATAAAAACGTAAATGCAAGACAACAATAGAGCGCTAAACCCATAACCTTGAACACCATAGACTAGTCCAACAAACTTATCAATGGAACGTGACCTACTTCCCTTAGGGAGACTAACGTTTGAATACCCAGATAAAAATAGTTTACGTTATTCCACAATGTGAGTATTTAATCTCAAGGTGCCAAATATGCTGAAGAACGCAGCAGTAGGACAGCAGATGTAATTTCGTAGCCTATATATAATGTTTAAAGGGCAACAACTTCACATCCCCCCCCCCCCTTTTTTTTTATTTTTTTATTTTTAAAATACAGAAAACATGAGTTGTTAACCCTTTGCTCGATACTATAGATATCGCAACCTTCGGCCTTGATTTAATTATAGATATCGTGAACCTGGACCACAAGGAGTTCGTCACCTGGTCATCGCGCAGTCGGTTTAACCAACTGAGCTAGCGAGCCGGGCCTCACCGGTATCTTCTATATGACTACTTTATTATGAATTTTTTTCAGTTGCTACTATCAGATGTTGGCGCAAATAACTATTATAGTTAGACAATATCTGACTGTTAATTACAAACAGCCATAAATTTCCATCGGTGCTTACAGCCAATTAATGCAAAGTGAGAGAGAGAGAGAGAGAGAGAGAGAGAGAGAGAGAGAGAGAGAGAGAGAGAGAGAGAGAGAGAGAGAGAGAGAGAGAGAGAGAGATAAACTGGTAATTATAACTAACAATGGTGCTACAATCAGCTGACACTACATTTGACAACTGCATATAAAGAAGTCTGTGAACAGACGTGATCTCCAATCGTCACGGGTATAGACGACAAAATAATAATAATAATAATAGGTTAGTTGCGAATCCTTTACAGGACGTTGCAGAACCAACCCCATCAGCCCCTGGCTGTTGTGTGGTTTCACTAGGCAAATTTACGTCTAGTAGTTTGCCATTGCCTACTGGACGGTCGGCTCCCTGATACCACTGTCGAAACCAACACAAGGCGTATGGCGCGCAGCTGGGATCGAACCCGGTACGCCGGCATTACGAAGCGTTCGCATTGACTTAGCCACAGAGCCGACAATAATAATAGATGATACCATATTTAATGCGAAGTCAATTTCGCATGTCTTTCCAAAGCATTTGCCATACGACTTACTTTGTGAATATCGACGTTTATTTTATACATTTGTTGACCATGTACATAACTTATGGGCAGAGATCTGATGTTTCTCTGACTAAATACAAAAGCAATATACCGCACTTGTTTTATGCTAGTAAGCTACAGTTCTTTTCATACAGTTGCAACAATTGCATTGTATATATATATATATATATATATATATATATATATATATATATATATATATATATATATATATATATATATATATATATATATATATATATATGCTTAGGAAATGATGGCGGCTTTTCAAGCAGAGGCGCAGGAAACTGGACAGCAGCGGTTGCTACTGACTGCTGCAGTTGCTGCAGGGAAAGATAAAATTGACAATGCTTATGAAATACCAGAAATTTCTCAGTAAGTTGATCGGCATCTATTATGTTAAAATTTCAGGTAGTTATGTTATACTTTTATCAGTATTCACATTACATATTGATAACATTACTTCTTTTTTCGCTCAGAGGAGCAGATACACCTTCACTTCTAGCAAAATCACATCATTAACAATTTAGGAGTTACAGACAGACAGACAGACAGACAGACAGACAGGCAGATGGATGTATGTATGTATGGATGAATGAATCGACAGACAGACAGACAGACAGACAGACAGGCAGGCAGGCAGGCAGGCAGGCAGGCAGGCAGGCAGGCAGGCAGGCAGGCAGGCAGGCAGGCAGGCAGGCAGGCAGACAGACAGACAGACAGACAGACAGACAGACAGACAGACAGACAGACAGACAGACAGACAGACAGACAGACAGACAGACAGACAGACAGACAGACAGACAGACAGACAGACAGACAGACAGACAGACAGACAGACAGACAGACAGACAGACAGACAGACAGTGCTCAGTTACATTTTCCACTTGAGTGCCCCTAATGTAGAGTTAAAGCGTTCTGTGAGAATTTAACTTGTATAGTTTTTGTTTCGTTGTTATTAGCATAGATTTTGTTTTATTAATGTTTATTAGCATACAGTTTGCACTGCTCAATTGGACTACATTATTTAATTCTTGTTGTAATGACGACTCTAGTACATTACATGTTTGAGCATTTGCCTAGATGGTACAGTCGTCTGCGAATAAATCGCAGGACGATAACAGACATAAACGAAGGTCATTTATGTAGATATTGAAAAACAGAGGGCCGAGAATCCACAGTATTTAAGTCAGTGGTCTGCGATAGTGATTTACTGTAACAGATTATTTGTTTTCTATTTAACAAAAAAAGATGTTATTAACTTTAATAGCCTAGGGTTAAATTTCATTGTTTCTAATTTTCTTATAAGAATGTTATGGTCTATCATGTCAAAAGCTTTCTTAAAGTCTATAAACACCCCGCCACATATTTTTTCATCATTAACATTCTGGTGCCATTTTCAATCATGTTAGTTAAGGCAGTATGGCACGAATAGTTTGGTCAAAAACCTGATTGGTTATCCACTATAAGTTTGTTGTGATCTAAGTGCTGAAAAGTTACATTATGAATATATTTCTCTAGTGGTTTCGATAGTGATGATAACAGGGAAATTGGTCTGTAGTTACCTGGAGTACTACTGTCTAAGGAACCAGGTTTTAGATGTGGATACACTTTGGCAATCTTAAATGCAGATGGGAAGTAGCCTTTGACAAGACATTGGTTGTAAATAAAGGTCATCGACTCACAAATAACTGGGGCAGCACTACCAAGGATCCTATTGGTGATTCCGTCTAATCCGGATGTATTACTGTTTCTGAGACTGTTGAAATGTATAAAAACTTCCGCAACTGTCATGAGAGGAATGTCAGAAGGAGTGTCTTCAGAGCATTTATTTTCAGATAGATAGATAGATAGATAGATAGATAGATAGATAGATAGATAGATAGATAGATAGATAGATAGATAGATAGATAGATAGATAGATAGATAGATAGATAGATAGATAGATAGATAGATAGATAGATAGATAGATAGATAGATAGATAGATAGATAGATAGATAGATAGATAGATAGATAGATAGATAGATAGATAGATAGATAGATAGATAGATAGATAGATAGATAGATAGATAGATAGATAGATAGATAGATAGATAGATAGATAGATAGATAGATAGATAGATAGATCAGATAGATAGATAGATCAGATAGATAGATAGATCAGATAGATAGATAGATCAGATAGATCGGATAGATCAGATAGATCGGATAGATCAGATAGATCGGATAGATCAGATAGATCGGATAGATCAGATAGATCGGATAGATAGATAGATCGGATAGATAGATAGATAGATAGATAGATAGATAGATAGATAGATAGATAGATAGATAGATAGATAGATAGATAGATAGATAGATAGATAGATAGATAGATAGATAGATAGATTAGTAGATAGATAGATTAGTAGATAGATAGATTAGTAGATAGATAGATTAGTAGATAGACAGATTAGTAGATAGACAGATTAGTAGATAGACAGATCAGATAGATAGACAGACCAGATAGATAGACAGATCAGATAGATAGACAGATCAGATAGATAGATAGATAGATAGATAGATAGATAGATAGATAGATAGATAGATAGATAGATAGATAGATAGATAGATAGATAGATAGATAGATAGATAGATAGATAGATAGATAGATAGATAGATAGATAGATCAGATAGATAGATAGATCAGATAGATAGATAGATCAGATAGATAGATAGATAGATCAGATAGATAGATAGATAGATCAGATAGATAGATAGATAGATCAGATAGATAGATAGATAGATCAGATAGATAGATAGATAGATCAGATAGATAGATAGATAGATAGATAGATAGATAGATAGATAGATAGATAGATAGATAGATAGATAGATAGATAGATAGATAGATAGATAGATAGATAGATAGATAGATAGATAGATAGATAGATAGATAGATAGATAGATAGATCAGATAGATAGATAGATAGATCAGATAGATCAGATAGATAGACAGATCAGATAGATAGACAGATCAGATAGATAGATAGATCAGATAGATAGATAGATCAGATAGATAGATAGATAGATCAGATAGATAGATAGATAGATAGATAGATAGATAGATAGATAGATAGATAGATAGATAGATAGATAGATAGATAGATAGATAGATAGATAGATAGATAGATAGATAGATAGATAGATAGATAAAACATCATCGTCATGTAGGAGGTCATTTGCAGAACGTCGCTCTCATCACTGCCATGTTGAAAGTAACTCGGTCTCTAGCTAGAACTCCTGCTTCATGCGCTGTTTTGTTCTAACATCATGTGATGATCTTCATGCTAGGCGGCCCCTGTCCCTACTTCCTGGTACCATGCTTTCTGCAATACTTTTTCTCCAGTTCGCTATGGCGCTTGATTTGAACAAAGTATTTCAGCTGCATAGAAAAGATGCTGTTTATTAGCCAATTTCCCTTGATGTTCAGACTTTTTAGAGTGTCAATATGTCTTCTCTTCTTCGGCCTTGGTGTTCTGAGAATCTTGTATAGCATGTCAGCTCAAAAGCCCCTATTTTCTTCCTTAAGTGCTCTTGCTAAATTAACCAGACTCATAATATTGTTTAATCATTGTATTTCTATGGCTATCCTCCATTTTGACTTCTGTTATACAGCCTCATTTGCTGTTTTTTATAGTGTCTAGATTTTCGAAGTGTGTGACATGTTTAGTTTCTGCATCATTTTTTCGGTCTTTATACTTACATGACAGCAGTTTGTCTGTGAACATTATTTATGTTCTCTTTAAAGTCAAAAACTTGTTTTGATCTTTACTGTATCTTTTGGACAGACATGAATTAAATGATCTATTCACTTTACAGTTTTCGAGAAGATTACTATGACATCTGCATAGCGAAGTTTCGTAGTAAGCTGCTATTAATTATGAGTGGATCATAACTGTCACAAGTATAGTCTTTTGTGACATTTCTCATTTTGTTTTCTGCGCATATACTGAATTGATATGGTAAGAGAATGCACCCCTGCTTCGTTTACCTTTTCACCTGAAACCATCTAATGTTTCTCCAACTGATCTGATTTAGGCTTGTTGTTCAAAGATATAGATATATACATATTCATTGATACATAGATACACAGGTAGATACATGCGAAGTCGAAAGGCAGGTATAATCGTAGGCAGGAAAGCAGTTAAATAAATATATAGTAAGTACATACAATATAAAGGTGTGTATGCATGCGACAGATGTCTAGCATAATAAACCATGCGGGCCACGGGCGTGAAAGACGTATTTCTTTTATTTCATTTGTGTCAACAAACAGGTGGATGAACACAAATAAAACATTCATTGACACTGGGGCTGTCAACAAACAGGTTGACGAACACAAATAAAACATTCATTGACACTGGGGTTGTCAAGCAGAGGGCCAGAATGGAGACAATTGTTTTAAATAGGAGATGAATGTGGCATTCTTTCTTCAAAATAGGTCATAATGCTGACACCCATGAATAAGTTACCATTAGCTAACTTTACCGATACACCATCTTGCTGTTAGCTGCATTAATTACATCACCTTACAATCATTGTAAAATATATTTACACGTGTTTGTGTCTGAAATGTTACAGAGTGTTTGATTACATTAACCTCATGAGTTACGATTTCTTCGGCGCCTGGGATAGTGTGACAGGCCACGTGAGTCCTCTCTACCCTCCAACCGATGCCCAGGGCCTGGACAAGATCTTTAATGTTGTACGTACAGCCGTGTTCATTTTGTTATATTTTAGTATGGAACTCTAAGGAAACAGTAATACCTTGTGTTGCAAGAAGGACATATTACTTACCGGTAGTTAGTGTATTCTAATATCCATATTCGTCAGTATACAACTTGTAGTAATTGCAGTGCCGTCTCCACAATAAAGGTTGGCTGCAATGGATCTCTTTCATACGCTACCTCGTGTCGTGTTTGTACAGTCTCTCAGACTTTTCTGTTCGTCCATCTTTTTATACTGTCCTCCCACTTGTATTGTTGTCTACCTCTTGCTCTATTACCCTCGACCCCACCCTCTAGTATGGTTTGTGGAAGCAAATATGTCTTTAAATGTTGCAAAAATGTTTCAGTTGCCTTTCTTTTCTTTCAGTACTTAATTTTTTGATTTTATATGCTTCCTTTAAATACGATATATTCTTCCGAATTTCCGCATATCTAGACTCAGGTCGAGTTTCTATTTTGTTCATTGTCCAAGTTTAAGCACCAGCAGGGTTGAGTATACATACTATTTGACTGTAAATCTCACAAAGATGCCGAATCTGGCGGGCCGAAACATTTCCCCAATGCTGTGGTATGTTAAAGGAGTATCACGTTTGGTTTTTTTCAACGCTACAGCGATGAGCATTCTAAATTCCACATTGTGAGTTGCCAGCACGTTCTATTTTTCACGTCGACAGCGATCGGCTCTGTGTGTGTTCTTGCGTTCTGCATTCGCTCTTCGTCGATATCACTGCGGCATCAGCTGGAGACTTGACCTTCACCGTAAATCTACTTCAAGTGTCAGCAGAAGTGAGCGAAAAGCAGAGTTGCGTTGTTTTTCTAAAAGCCTCCTCCTCCCCCACCCGTACAACTCTTTACAGGGCCCGACAAATATGTCACAAATTCTAAAATCAGTGACAGACTAGTTCGCAAGAAAAAAAAATCGCTTAATATCGCCTGCCACCAAAGAGACCTCGTCAGTTTCGTGACGGGCCTCAAACGAACAGCAACTGTTTTTGTGTGCACGCTGTGCATCGACGCAGGAGACAAAGAAACCGATATCCTAACACCCCTACAACATAGCAAAGCCCGTGAGAACTGGCCATGTCACGAAGGGGGGTCGCCGCGAAACTCGCACTCTGCTAGAAGCGGGCTTCTTCGTGATATGTACCAATTTGACGATTTTCATTTTTAATGTATTATTTATCTCTCTAGCTTTGATAATTTTCCTTTGCGCATCTTATTAAAGATAGTTTTAGCAATTCTTTTTTTTCTCTATCTTTCAATTTCTATTTCACTTCTGTCATAATCTGTTATTATTTCAAATCAAGATAGGAGAACCTTGAAACTTTTATTATTATCTCTCCGTTTACTGTGATGTCTCCTGTTGGTCGCTCTTTTCCAATATTAAGTACAATAGTTTTTTTTTGTTTCTTTAAGAATGTTTACATCATAGATTAAGAAAACGTATCATTGTGGACAAATGCACCATCTTACGAATGTTTATGTTACGGATATCAGTGTATCTAACCTTTATAGGTTATAAAAGTACCTTACCTACGCCTTCAGACCTATTTCGCATAAGTAAAGTAAAGTAAAGTAAAGGACCCTTTTCCACGCCTTTAGGCGTAAAGGGCATATAGGGCTAGACCTATATTTTTATAGATCAATCGGCACAGGAGGGTGATGTGGTCAGCATTGGACCGGCCGCCAATACTTCCCAGGTCTCAAACTCATATCCTGTGATGATCAGTTGTTGCGTTACTTGTCACTTTACATTTCCAGAAATTTCCAGTAAAAAAAATATTGTATCAGAGGCCGGGGTAATCCAGAATCCGCACTGATCGCCGGGTTTCGAACCCTGGTGAATGCTCTGTAGGGAGGTGCAATAACAACCAAGCCACTGGTTGCGAAGACAAGGTAGTGTGTATTATGTCATAGATATACAATCAAAATATTATGATGCTGGCTGATAAACTCGCTACCTCAATAACCGCTTGTCATTGAAGAACCCCTGGCAGTCGTCTGATTAGGCTGGGACACACAGGAAGGCTTAGCTAATGCGAAAGCAAGTTTCATCATCAAGTGAAATAGTCAACAACTCTTTGGTGGTAAGTCAGTACACTGGTTTAAACTGATACAATAACATGTCTTATATAGACAGTAAATAGTCAATGCACTCGACTATAACAAGCTTTGATCTATAATATAAACGGTAAAGTGTATATTCTTTCAAAATTTTTATTTTATTCCTTGAATGTTCAGCAATTTGCCGCAGACTACTGGGTCAGCAAAGGCTGTCCAAAGGAAAAACTAATCATTGGGCTCATCACATATGGGCGGTCGTTTACTCTGGCGAATCCTAGAAACAGTGGACTGAAAGCCCCAGCTAATGGACCTGGCATTGCAGGAACCTTCACCAGAGAAGCTGGCTTTATGGCATATTACGAAGTAAGTTACCATTCCCATGTTTCACTAGCAATATTTACAAGGAGAGAACAAAAACAGAAGTAACTATAACATAACTTTAAATCATTTACTATTATGACCTAATATGTTCATTGTCTTGCAATTGTAAAAATCATAATCCCTGACTGTAGACCACAGACAAATAGTTTGAGTTGATTATGAAGACCTTCAGAAATAGCTTAAGTATGTGAAATCTACATGTCATCAAAGGATTTTATGACGGACGAACTTTAAAATCTGAAACAAATACATATAATAAAACTTTGAATGAGCAGAAAACTGAGAGACTTCTCTGACAAAAGCAGGCTTGTTGTTTTAAAAACATTGTGGTATTAAATATAAAAGTATAATCTAAGCTTAGAAAATCTCATAGTTAACAAAGGAAAGTAATTACATTAATATTGATCAAATGAGGATTAAAACTGTTGAGCAAAACATGTCAAAAAGCTGACATCATATTACAGCAAAATAATACATTTGGGATTAAAAAGCTCAGAAAACAAGAGGCAAGAAACAAAATTTCACAAACCTTTTTACTCTTCTTCTTTTGTCCGTTATCCCCAAATGAATCACGAGCCTGTTTTTTTTATATTTATCTGTTGGGGCATTAATTTATTTGTAGCCATGTCTTCCATTCTAGCTTCCATCCCCCATCTGTATCCACTCTTCTGTTATAAAAAAAAAAAGTAATGGACCCTTTTCCACGCCGTTAGGCGTAAAGGGCATATAGGGCTAGACCTATATTTGTATAGACCAATCGGCACAAGATGGGTGATGTGGTCAGTATCACGCCGGCCGCCTTTACTTCCCGGGACTGTACCCGGTACCCACTCAAGGCTGGGTCGACCTGGGAGCCAAGGTCATTTTTGAAAATAGTCCGGCTCTGCCAAGGAGCGAACCCACGACCTTCCGATCCTCGGCGAGCGTCTAGCCGCTCGGCCACGGCGACCCCCTCTTCCGTTATTATTGCTTTTAAAATCATCCTCACCTATAGCTACATGAGTGCTGTTATTATTTGTTTCGCATTATGTTTGCTTCTGTCTGCCATTTCATTTCTTTCAAATCCCACATGTCCTGGCACCCAGATAATTAGTACTGAGCATACTCTTGTTTTTAGAAACGTTGTCGGGAAGATCTTCCCTGTTTTATCAGTTCTAAAACATAAAGTGGTACTCGTAAGAACCAAAACCATAGAGTCCGTTAAAACAGTCAGCCATGGGGGAAGAGGAGTGGGGGAGGTTAAGGGGGAGTGGGTGGGAAAAGGGGGAGGGGGTGGGTGAAAAAAAGGGGGAGGTGGGTGTGGTTATGGTACATCATTTCTAGTGTCGTCAGAGCATCAGTGTCTGTGGCAAGTATTAAAATATTGCTTGTTAAACCGAAATTACTAATTAATAAATTTTGTAATTTCCGATAGTGGGATGTACGTTCCGATTCCTAAATTATAATCTTTTCCTTTTTAACCCACTTTAAATAGCCACAATAACATTGGACTGTGTGTGGGTGGATGGGTGTGTATGTGTGTGTGTGTATGTGTGTGTGTGTGTGTCGCTAAAGTGTTTTCTGCTAGACCTGTAGGTCTCGACCCCTTGTTGGGGTCGAACGACTCTTTCACAGGGGTCGCCAAAGACAATCGCAAAACACATGCTCGTTGCTAAAGTTATGAAGTAGCAACGAAAAAACATTGTGTTATTGTGGGTCGCCACAACATGAGGAACTATATTAAAGGGTCGTGGCATTAGGAAGGTTGAGGGCCACTGTGCTAGACGCTTGCATGCGGATCAGTAGGACGTGGGTTTGGGTCGTGACGGAGATGGACGTTTAAAAAGAAATGACCCTGGCTCCCAGGTCAACCCGGCGTTGTCTGGTACCAGGTGCAGTCCTGGGAAGTAAAGGCGGCTGGTGTGATGCTGATCACATCACCAACCAAGTGCCGAATGGTCTGTAAAATGTAGGTCTAGCCCGATATGCCTAATAAGTTTAAAGTAGTGGAAAAGGGTAGTTTATCTACTTTACATAATCCCCTAAAATAAAGCTACGCTAATACACTCTGTCCCTGTTGTCACTGTAAGCCTTAATATCTTATAGAGTTAGGAACTTAGTTAATTCAGACCCCACTATTTGAAAAATAAATAAATACAAGTAAGAGATGGGTTAAAGTCACACTTGTCTAAGACTGAAAGTTTATTTATTATAGAAGACTGATGGCACATTTTGAATAATCCAGGTGTACACTATGATAAAACAAGGTGGAAAGGTTGAGTGGCTTGACGACCAGAAAGTGCCTTATATAGTCCTCAACAATCAGTGGGTGGGCTATGAGAATGAACAGAGTCTGCAACTGAAAGTAGGTATTTATGAACTGTATACATCGCATTTTTCTTATTGAATATGTCCCATAACATATGAGACAGGGACATATATTTTTTTGTATTTTTTCATTGATACAAGAGAAAAGCATTTATATGATGATCGGTTTACTGCGAAGCTGGAACCGCTACTATTAGTTACTGTCAAGAAAAGACATAAACCGAAAGAAAAGTATATCAGCAAGGTTCACAATATAACGAACAGAAACAAAACGTGAACTTTGCATCTATAGAGCCTTCATCAAAGTAAAAAGTAAATTAAGATCCCTTATTACGCCTAAGGCGCATTGGGTATATGGGCAGAGCGTCCCATATTTTTACAGACTAATCGGCACTGGATGGGTAAGGTAAGCCTTCATCAGTGCATACATAAATAAAACAAAACCACACAAATACACACAATCACTTAGTATCTCGAAGCGGCCAGGTCGATGTCTTGTCTATAGACTGGAGAGGCACGTGGGACCGGAGAATACACGCAGGGAATTACAAGGGCCGTAACTGAAGAGTTTCAGATAAAACTGTACTGGCAGTTTATCTTTTTAGTTACTGGTACCATTGGAACTGGAACACTTTACTTGCTGCTGAAGATGTGACGAGGACGGAGCATTTATGGGAGTGTCCCGAGTTCTGTGACGTCGATTTTAATTCAATATTTTACATGCTACAACAGCAGCTCTAAGAATTAACAATTGTTTAGGTACACTTCAGTGCATAAAGAGTGGCGTACGACAAAGATGTGTAAAGTCGCCTGATTTATTTTCACGATACAGTGAATATATAATGAGATCTTTAATTGATATGCCTGGAATTGTGGTTGGTGGGTCTGATATTAACAATTTACAGTATACTGATGACACAATCTTGATAGCAACAAGTCAGAAAGAACTACAGGAAATAAAAGATACTGTGGTGGTAGAAAATGGAAAAATGGGCCTCAGTTTGAATAATAAAAAGATTGAAGTAAATGTGGTATCAAAGAAAATAATTATTCCTAAATGTGTAATAAAAGTCAACGGTGTTATTTTTGGACAAGTCTGGTAGTCTTAGTTTCAGCTTCATAGCAAACGGGTCACCTCATCTTTGCTCCGCTCCTGTGCCAACGAAAAACACACAGAATGTTTATCACAGTATTATAATTACAGTTCATCATTGATGGTAGCAGAAGTCGCCAACAGATCAGCAGTTGCTCACGCGATCAATTTTAATCACATACGGGCACCACAACACTGCACGACAGGCATCGCGCCATTTTCTGAATCTACAATTCACATCACCACGTTGGTCACAGTCGAAAAAACATTCCAAATGCAATCCGCAGCTCACAGGGTCACGCCATGCATTCAACTCAGAAGCTGGGCGACGAAACTATATCCAGTCTACAAATGGAGCAAAAATACATCGGCCACCGTCTGGCAGAAGCAAAAAATTTGCCTCTTTTGGACAAGTACATACATTTAGTTATCAGGGCACATGGATAACATCAGATGGAAGATGCTTTACTGAGATAAGAAACAGAATAGGACAGCCAAAAACTGCATTTTATAAAATGAAGAACATTTTGTGCAATATATATCTGTCATTAAATGTTCGAAAAAGAATTCTTGCTTGCTGCATACATGCATCCTGTTTTGACATATGGCTGCATACGCCTGTGAGTCCTGGACAATCGGTAGGCAGGCCAAACAATAACTTGAGGCCTCCGAGATGTTGTGTTACAGAAGAATGCTTAGAATACCTTGGATAGCTAAAAAGAGTAACCAAGAGGTTTTGAAAGAGGCGGGAGCCCGAAGACAACTTATCACAGACATCAGAAGGAGACAGTCATCATTTTTCGGCCATGTTATGAGAAGAGGGAAAATGGAACATGTTGTGACCACTGGAAAGATCTGTGGAAGGAGGGATAGAGGAAGACAACGAGCGAAGATTCTTGACAGTCTTGTTGCATGGCATGGAGGCGTGTCGGAACACGAACTGATACATGCTGCAGGAGATCGTGTATTATGGAGAGGTATGATCGCCCACGTTAGTCGGCAAGACACCTGATGATGATATATGAGGGCTGACAAAATATGTCGATGTGTAAACGTTATAGATCGTGATTTGTCTGTTGTCTGATGGCTGTTAATTTTTCTGAACCATAATTTGCATACTTTTCTAACTTGAATTAATTTAGTTTGTACACTACATTGTTTGATTTTATTCACTTCATACGACTCTCCTCTAAATCTACAGGCTCAGTTTATCAATGAAAATGGTTTTGGTGGAGCAATGGTTTGGGATCTTGATTTGGATGATTTCGATAATGCATTTTGTGGACAAGGAGCCTATCCGCTAATTTCAACTATTCACAACATCTTGACGAAATAAAATGTATTGATATTCAATTGTTTGTTCTTTCATTTCTAACTTGGGAAAAACAGGTAAATCTATCAAGAGACCTGACAATATGATTTTTGATCTGCTTCCTTGTCAAAATAAGAGACCTCAAAACATGCTTGTTTCCTGGTCGATGCAAAACACTATAAATTAGGATAGTTAGGGTCAGTCTTGATCAAAGAATGGGACCTCTAAACATGATGTTTGATCTGCTTCTTGTTTAAAGTAAAATTAGTCAAAAATGATGGCTGGTTCATGAACCCCAAACTATAATGGAATAACTATACAGGAGTGGAGCATTCGTTGGTTAAAGCAGATTCATAAAGGAAAGACAAAGATAATGAAAATAAATCAGGCAAATAGTAATGTGGTTTCTCTCAATGGCACCCCACTCCAAGACGTGGAGTCATACACCTATTTGGGCAGTAATGTAGATAAAGATGGAGGAACTAATAGAGATATTAAAATAGGAATACAAAAGGCAAGAGGGGCTTTCATAGTACTAGGGAATTTGTGGAGGCAAAAGAAATTAAAAAAAAATAAAAATAAACTAAACATTTTTAATTTTAATGTCAAATCAGTACTGTTGTATGGGGCGGAAACATGGAGAATAACTAAGACATTTACTAATAAATTACAGACATTCATTAACTGGTACCTGCGCAGAATAGACTGAATTAAATGGTATGATAGAATAACTAATGTAGAACTTTGGGACAGAACTAAACAGGCTCCAGTGGACCAAGAGGTGAGGAAAAGACGCTGGCGTTGGATAGGACACACACTGAGAAAGCACGAGAACAGCATAACTAGAATGTCTTTGCATTGGAACCCACAGGGGCATAATAAAAAAGGAAGGCGTGAGTTGGGTAAGGGCCTATGCTCCATTGGGGGATAGAAAGGCAGAAGAAGAGGAAGAAGAAGAAGAAGAAGAAGAAGAAGAAGAAGAAGAAGAAGAAGAAGAAGAAGAAGAAGAAGAAGAAGAAGAAGAAGAAGAAGAAGAAGAAGAAGAAAAAGAAGAAGAAGAAGAAGAAAGCAGATTACCTCAGGCTACGAAAGTGGTGTTATTTAATATTATTCCATATTTACTGTTGGCCGTTTTCATATAATTTCTAACTTAGATACTGGTATGCGCCGCCCTCACCCCCATCTGTGAATATAAATAATAAATGAGAATTTGAATGGATGAATTGATTTTATTTGATTCAAGAACCGACATCACAGCACTCGGGACATTCCCATAAGCGCTCCATCCCCATCTTCAGCAGCCAGCGAAGAGTTCTGATAACAATGGTGCCAGTAGCATTCTGATTAAACGTCTGTCTTACTTTCCTCTAAGCCTCGAGCATTTGCCAGAACCTCTCGTCACTCCCCGCTGCATCAATCTCACCAGACTGTGGTGATCCATCTGCTCCTCCGAACTAAACACGCTCTCCCACAAGGTACTAACCATGTCTGCCTTATCATGTATCAATGTTCCATCAAGTTGTGTAGAGCCAGCCAGTCTGTCCACCTGTTCATTTCCCAAGACACCAGCGTACCCCGGTGAAAAAATCCAGACAATACTCCTCCCCCGTGTCCTCTGCAGCGAAACATGTCACTCTGCAAGAAGCATAACTGTTCTGATCTTCCTCAGCATGCTTTCTGAATCAGTTACAATCACTATGTGTGTTTGTGTCGTGTTCTCTAGCCAGCGGAAAGCTACAGTGACCGCCTCCACCTCCATTCTTAAGCTGGATGTTGTGGTATCATATGCTAGGCTCTCCTGCACCAAACTTCGACCATTAACTTTTGCTAAGAAGCCCTAAGCACTTCTTTTGCCTCTTGACACTGAACCGTCTGTGTAAATGATAAAATCCTCTGAGCGAGCATTATCTTTAATTAATTGCTGAATTTCCAACTCTGTAGCACCTGCTGGCCAGTCTCTGCATTCCCGCCTCAGCGTGATTATGACTCTACACAAGTCTGTTCAGGTGGCACTTTGACCAACTCTTTTCCTCGCCAAATTTTCTCAAGGATGCAAACCTGTCTGATTATTTCTTCTGCCTGAGCCATCCATGACCTCCCTCTTATCAGCCGCTGACCCTTAACTGCACCCAGAGCTTCATGCAGAGGGTGATCTGTGTCTGCAGCTACCCTGATACGGTGGCCGTTGCATTTTTGCTCCATTTGTAGACTGGAAGGATATAGTTTCGTAGCCCAGCTTCTGAGTTGAGTGCATGGCGTGACACTGTGAGCTGCGTGTGTTTTTTGTTGGCACAGGAGCGGAGCAACTATGGGGTGACCCGTTTGCTATGAAGCTGAAACTAGGATTACCAGATTACCCTGAGATATGACTTCGCCTGCAGCACCTTGTGCCTACCTGCAACCGTCGGCAAACCAAGGATGTATCGCATTCATACCACTGGGGTGTCTCTGGCGCAACCCAGAGTGACCCTCATAGACGCGTTCTGGATGAATGATAATTAAACAACTGCATTCCATGGCCTAACTATGAAAAACAAAACAAACTCCTAATGGCTATATTAGAAAAACGCACATTGAATCAGTCCGGAGGTATTAGAGCAACGACATGATGTAGGAGGCTTATCAAATAAAATCCGTCCATTTGTGTTTACTACAAACTTATGGACAGCTGACATGAAACATCATAACTGGAAATTTTGAAACGCTATGTTTTACCTTAAAAATAATAATTTAAAAAAAAATTATTATTAAGTAGATGTATGAAGGTTCAGAGAGTGCAGGGTGAACTGATGCTTGTTTTAGTTATTGGTTTGAAGTTGAAACTGGAGTAAATCGGATGCATTTTATTTCACCTGCTATTCGGCATAACCGTTGACTGGATGATGAAAACTTGTGTTGGAAACGCCGACCATAGACTGGGTTGAGAACACACAGTTGGTAATTCTTGATTAATCAGATGATATTGTTCTGCTAAGGTTAAACCAACGGAAAGAAAACAGTGACATGCAGAGAAAACAGTGACATGCAGAGAAAACAGTGACATGCAGAGAAAACAGTGACATGCAGAGAAAACAGTGACATGCAGAGAAAACAGTGACATGCAGAGAAAACAGTGACATGCAGAGAAAACAGTGACATGCAGAGAAAACAGTGACATGCAGAGAAAACAGTGACATGCAGAGAAAAAACAGTGACATGCAGAGAAAACAGTGACATGCAGAGAAAACAGTGACATGCAGAGAAAACAGTGACATGCAGAGAAAACAGTGACATGCAGAGAAAACAGTGACATGCAGAGAAAACAGTGACATGCAGAGAAAACAGTGACATGCAGAGAAAACAGTGACATGCAGAGAAAACAGTGACATGCAGAGAAAACAGTGACATGCAGAGAAAACAGTGACATGCAGAGAAAACAGTGACATGCAGAGAAAACAGTGACATGCAGAGAAAACAGTGACATGAAGAGAAAACAGTGACATGCAGAGAAAACAGAGACATGCAGAGAAAACAGTGACATGCAGAGAAAACAGTGACATGCAGAGAAAACAGTGACATGCAGAGAAAACAGTGACATGCAGAGAAAACAGTGACATGCAGAGAAAACAGTGACATGCAGAGAAAACAGTGACATGCAGAGAAAACAGTGACATGCAGAGAAAACAGTGACATGCAGAGAAAACAGTGACATGCAGAGAAAACAGTGACATGCAGAGAAAACAGTGACATGCAGAGAACAAAGTTTCTTTAGGAAATATATCATCATTGATTGGACTACAAATAAATTATGAAAAGAAAAGTATAATTAGGACACCAACAACAGATCAAGCAGATATTACACTAGAGACAAAATGAATTATACAACAGATCAATTTACATATTTAGATAGTAATGTTGATATTGAAGGAAATAATGAAGAAGTAGATTATGATATACACTGGCAAGACATGAGCAGCTGTTAAAATCCAGAACAAAATGGGAGACTCTAAGCTGTAATTGTAGTTTTAAAATTAACTTTAGTATTTTCAGTTCTAATGTTATTTCAGTTTTAACAAATGTTAGTGAAAATTGGAGAACCACTCAAGTCATTAAACGAAAGTGTAATGTATTTGAATGCAAATGTCTGAGGATAATGTTGAACATAAAATAGGATGACATCAAGAGGGGTAAAGAAATAACATAAATGTCAGTGCAACCACTAGAATGAACAATTATAAGACAGAGAAGATGGCGCTATACTGGACAGAGACTGAGAAGAAACCGGCACTAAATAGGCATTAACACGCCAAATAGAAGGATTAAGGTTACAGGGATGCCAAAAAGAATCCCTGAAACAGGCGTTGTTTAGGACTGGATTCCATACCTGACATTCTATTGATTGCACACGATAAAATGGAATAGAGGATTAGACTGCGAACTCTATATGACATATAAGGGCACAACGGGACAATGGGGAAAATACCACACTGCTGTCCTCAGAAATTCATTGTGGAAGCTATATAAAACGTGTCAATAGCTTGGAGAGAAAACAATAATAAAGAACATGGTACCAGGTATACAGATATAGGTCGATAAACACGAAAGTGGGCACAGGGCATAAGAGACACTTTGGGATGGGAAGTGCTTGAGGCTGGAGAGCAGACCAGGAATCGATTTTCTTTTAGGCGAGTTGTGATCGAAGTGACTTTGTAAAGGATTTGCTATGCAATGATGATGATAAATTCTATAATAGCAGATGGTATAAATTAAAGCAAAGTGACGATTAGAAAGCAAAAACTGCACCTTTGGTCATGAGAGAAGTTCAATGGGACACTCAGACTTGGTTACGGCTGTTTAAAAAAAGACGTCGCTGAACGAGTCGACATGGGTGTTCATGCTAAGTGAAATAACGTTCTTGTGGATGTGTTTTGGAACCAGTGACAGGTAATTAATTATTGTATACAATGTGTTACCATGGCACATAAGCTGTCTGAAGTCGTCAGAAACAACTCATTACATTCCAACTGCATTCAAGTAAGAATCAA